CTGAATGAAATTGTAAATGTATTGGAAAGGAAAGAACAGGAGAACCCAGAGGCGGATTGAGCAGATGGGTTTCTTTATTGCAGGTACTCATTCCACCTAAAATACCAAACTGTTTGAGGTAATGTTTTAAGATAAGGTTTATCAATAATTTAAAGTGGCGCATGGAAAGGTATTCACACACACACAATTATATCCATTGCATCCCCTTAACTATGGTATGGATGCAAAATCCAGCGGAACACCCTTTGCCTAACGGAAAAACATCTGCTGCAGTTTGAAAGGTCACCCCCTCTCTTCTGCACACGGTGTGTATCCTACCATCAGTATGGGAGGAAGGAGTTTGTGTAACCCACACCCTAGTGTGGTTCACTGTCCCACATAGTGGCACTTAGACCACTTACAGCAAAAGCCATGAACAAGGGAGCTCTACAGCCTAAGCTGAGAAGCAGCTGGTTTTATAGCTCAGGCTGTAGAAGCTCCTACATTAAGTTCCAGAAGTCCTAAGTTTAAATCTGCCTGGTGGTGGTTGCATTTGCATCGTAGCCTTTGGCCTTATATGACCAATATCCTTAGCTCCTTTGACTTGTTACTCCCAGCTCCCTTCACATGTGTTTTTTATGATGACCCCAGCAGAACCCCCTGGGGAGGTGCTGAAGTCCACAAGTTATGCTTCTGTCATTCATCCCTGACTCTGGATGCTCTCTTTCAGAAGATGTTTTTTTGGAAGATCTTTTCTGGAAAAGCATCTTCTGACAGAACCCTGCAGTCTAGACATCACATTTTTCATGCACTATTCTGCCAGGAGTGAGGCAGCATCACAGACATTTGATCATGCCTCTGGTATGAGCCAAAGAAAGGGACAACCAAACAAAAAGACAGAGAGATTGCACCAATGAAATAATGATTGTAAGATACTATGGGAACGGGGTCCATAGACATTCATAGGATAGGCCTAGAAGGACCCAAAAAAGCTTTCTTTTAGATAATTAGCAGTAGCATCTCCTTTCAGAGACAGGCCTGCTCCCTGCCAGTGAGCGGAGGAAGGCAGGCTCATACTGCCTAAAATTTCATTCTGATCTCTGCTGGAGTCATACACAGTCCCTGTTAGTTGATTTGGAATAAGCATCCATTGATCTGATATAGTTCATCTTGGGAAGCCTTGGAGGAGTCTTGGCAGCTATCAAAAATGCAGAAAATCAATTTAGTTGGTAAACAAGAGCCCTAAGAGTCTAATATACATACTGCAATCCCAGCCAAAAGAGGAGTAGAAATAGATAATGCACCCTATACTGAACCTCAGATAGGGATTTACATTTAAGGGAAAGCAGAAGAAAAGCCGTCCATTTGCTATAATTGTAAAAATCTCAATTTTCCCAGGAAAATGTTTGTTCTACAAGTTGAATGCCATTGAAAAACACTGAGTTCTTGTTGAAAAAAAAAAAGAAAAGAAAATATATTTCTCTCCTTTCTTCCAAGTCAGGTGGAAATTTATGATTCGTTGACTATAATTAATCCAGACTTGATGCACATTGTTGTAACAACCTAGAGATCGCATCAAACAGCAATAAAGACAAACAGGACTGCCTTCCCCTTCAGTCTCTTTAAAACTCAATTAAAATATACATTGGATTCAACTTCTCATTAGCTGGTACTATTTGTACATCCCATGTTCTTACTTTAATTAAAAAACATGCTTATTGCAATACTGCTAGAATCACTTTTACGGTATTTTAATTGTAATGTCTCTGTCTGATTAAAAAAAGAAAATATGAACTAGAAACTGCCTGCAACTACTATCATGATGCACAGTCCAAAAGGACTGAGAAACACAAAAAGTGGGTTCAGATAAACAAGCATCACAGCCAGTCTATAAATAAGGGAAATAATACTGTGTAGGGGGTCTGCAAAAGGTGGCTGGATAACACAGAAAACTTGACAAAGACAAAAAAAATGTTACTTCAAGGGTACCAGTTCAAACTCAACCCATAGAATCATAGGGTTGGAAGAGACATCAGGAGTCATTGAGTCCAACCCCCTGATCAAAACAGGAGCAAAAATCATCCCAGCCAGGGCTTTGTCAATCCAGAACCAAAAAACCTCTAGGGATGGAGATTCCACCACCTCCCTCCTAGAGAGATAGCTTTTCCTAATATCCCACCTAGACCTCCTCCACTGCAACTTGAGATCATTGAGCTCCACAGCATTGATCTCCCGGTAAGTGGAGACAAGCCTTGATTGCATAACATGAGCAGAAAACAGATCTAGAGTCAGTCATGTCTCCACTCTACCCATTCTCACCCTCTGTACATCCCACAACCTGGCGTTTGAACTGTGCAATATCATGCAGCCGTGTTCCACTCACACCGGTGTGGATAACGTTCCTGGTAACTCATAACAACATGGTGTGAGGAAGGAGAAGGCAGAGACAGACACTCCTCTCCCGATCCCATATCCTATTCTTTTGCTGCCTTCTACCTCCTGGTCCTCACTCTGGCCAATGAGGCAATGACACATGAAACCACGTCTCCATTCATATCCTGAAACCAGGGATATGTATCAGAGGCAGAAGGATGGTGAGAGAGGGGAGCAGGCAGCTCTGTGGGAGCTGCCTCCCGCTCCCCCCTATATAAACACTGAATTTTTCAGCGGTTACACATTTACATGAATACACACATTTTAACATCCCTAAGTCATACACTGACTAATGAAAGCATGTGGACTAGGGGGATGCACTGGATATGGTGTACTTAGATTTTCAGAAAGCCTTTGAAAAAGTCTTTCACCAAAGGCTCTTCAGTAAGTTGTCATGAGATAAGATGGAAGGCCCTCTCATGGACTATAATGGATTAAAAGATCTCATAGGGGTAGCTGCATTAGTCTGTAACTTTAAAAACAACAAATAGTCCTCTTGCACCTTAGGGTACGTCTACACCGCATCCCTAGTTCGGAGTAGGGATGCAAATGGAGACAACCAAAGTAGTTAATCAAGCGGGGATTTAATTATCCCGCGCTTCATTAACATGATCTCACTGGCACGCTAGTTTGAATCACTGCTGATTGTCTTCAGTAAGTTGTCATGAGATAAGATGGAAGGCCCTCTCATGGACTATAATGGATTAAAAGATCTCATAGGGGTAGCTGCATTAGTCTGTAACTTTAAAAACAACAAATAGTCCTCTTGCACCTTAGGGTACGTCTACACCGCATCCCTAGTTCGGAGTAGGGATGCAAATGGAGACAACCAAAGTAGTTAATCAAGCGGGGATTTAATTATCCCGCGCTTCATTAACATGATCTCACTGGCACGCTAGTTTGAATCACTGCTGATTGGAACCAGGAAGTGAGCGCCGGGACGCGTTAGTTCAGACTAAAGCCCTTAGTCCGAACTAACGTTACTCCTCAAAAAAGGAGTCCTATTCAACATATTCATAAATGATCTAAAGAAAGGGGTAAACAGTGAGGTGGCAAAATTTGCAGATGATACTAAACTGCTCAAGATACTTAAGAACAAAGCAGACTGTGAAGAGCTTCAAAAGGATCTCACAAAACCAGGTGATTGGGCAACAAAATGTCAAATTAATGTTAATGTTGATAAATGCAAAGTAACTCATATTGGACAACATAATCCCAACTATACGTAGAAAATGGTGGGGACTAAATTAGCTATAACCACTCAAGAGAAAGAGAGAGATCTTGGAGTCATTGTGAATAGTTCTCTGAAAACATTCACTCAGTGTGCAGCAGTAGTCAAAAAAGAAAAGAGAATATTAGGAATCATTTAAAAAGGAATAGAGAATAAGACAGAAAATATCTTATTGCCTCTATATAAATCCATGATATGCCCATACCTTGAATATGGTATACAGATGTGGTCACCTAATCTCAAAAAAGATATCGTAGCATTGCAAAAAGTTCAGAAAAGGGCAAGAAAAATGATTAGGGGTTTGGAACAGGTCCCATATGAAGAGAGATAAAAAAGACCAGGACTTTTCAGAATAGAAAAGAGAAAACTAAGGGGGGATATGATAGAGGTCTATAAAACTATGACTGGTGTGGAGAAAGTAAATAAGGCAAAGTTACTTATTTGTTCCCAAAACATAAGAACTAGGGATCCCCAAATGAAATTAATAGGTAGCATGTTTAAAACAAACAAAAGGAAGTACTTCTTCATGCAATGCACAGTCAACCTGTGGAACTCCTTGCCAGAGGATGTTGTGAAGGCCAGGCTTTTAATAGGGTTAAAAAAAGCTAGAAAAGTTCATGGAGCACAGGTCCATCAACGGCCATTAGCCAGGATGGGCAGGAATGGTATTGCTAGCATCTGTTTGTCAGAAACTAGGAATTGGCAACAAGGGTGGGAGTGCTTGATGATTCCCTGTTCTATTCATTCCTTCTGGGGCCATTGTCAGCTGACAGGATACTGGGCTAGATAGACCTTTGGTCTGCCCCAACGTGGCCATTCTTCTGAATTTGACGTGGGATGTATAAGTACTGCAGACCTGAAGTGCTCTCTGTTAATTGTGCCGTTGTAGTTACACAGGACCTACGGAGTGCTACAATCTTGGCTTCTTTATTACATGCTGTAACTGTAGGCTGTAATTCTACAACAACATCATTAGCTCTGTAACAGCTTTTGCAATACCCTGGCATCAAAGATACCCCACAAGACACAGTTGATTATTGTTACCAGTACCACTATTATCCCTCATCACCGTGCAGAAGAGCAGTGCTTTCAGCCGTCAGGAATAAAAGCATTCCTACTCAGATTGTCATTATGCCTCAAACGGCATAAACGATGCCTTCTGCATACATAATAATTAAACTGATCCTCCCTCCCATCCCCACTATGTTTACCAAACACTGACACTCTGTCTCTTAGGCTCCTGCCTGACCAGGTGCCTTACATAATATATTTGAAGGGGGGAGGGGAAAGAATGAAATTCTACAGCCTGAAAGAAAGAAACAAACAAAAACCTCCTCAGACCTTTGACATGCAGAAAGTTGAGGATGCCAGTGGTGGTATCCACCAGCAAGGTCTGGCCTCTTTCTACCGTGACATTATCGCCATCTTGTGGCAGGTGCCCATCAAGCCAGCTGGAGTTTTTGGACCATCGTCCACAGAATTGGAGAGGAAGGCGCTTCTGAAAAAGAAAATAAGGGTCTTAAAATTAAACTTTTGGATTAAAAAATTCCTAACTGGAAAGAACTTTCAAACAAATGTTAAGTGTGGTCATGCAGGTCCTGATACTAACCTCCTGGTGTGGCCAAGCATGGAGGCACATGCCTGATGACGACAAGGGAGAATGGACCCAAGTTTAATCTGGCATAGCCTAAGTGAAGTTCATTTTCTTTGGCAATGTTTCTTCTTCTAGACTACTTGGGCAGTATGTCTTTCCCCCCAATATTCAACCCACTCCCCCTTATATATAGCAACAGGGAGAGGCAGGAATCCAAGTATTTTGGTGTATGTTTTCTTCTTTAAAACCAGAATTGTATTTAATCCCAGTACAATGATGATCTTCCCCCCACCCCTCCAATAGTGGGAATTAAAATGTTCTGCCGGAGAAGTGTTAGTTTGCTTTGAAGAACTGGGAGCATTTTTCAAAAGCATTGCTGCCCATTATCCTGGTTATTAGGATATTCTCTATTCCAATCCCTTTTCCCGCCTCTCTGCTTGTTGGATATTTTGATTCCCCTCGATGTCTCACCTATTATTACTGAGAGAAGCATGGGAAGAAAAAGAATCCTGATTAATTGCCAAACAGCAGGCAAATAGCTTAGATGAGCACCAAGAGTGAAACAGACCCTGACTCTTATCCTCCCTCCCTCAATTCTGAACTTCCTTTGCATTGAAGGTTTGGCTGATTTCAGGATCATGGGTACACATACCCCATCATGAAACAGATTCCTGGAGTCAGACCTGCAGGAACAGAACACAGCACTCAACTGGTTCGGGGAAGGGCAATTAGCGTTGCAATTTTCACAGTTCTCTTTGGATTATGATTATCACAAGCAGCAAGGAAACGGACTAACTTCCTGACAGACGCAATCCCTTGGAGAAAAATGCTGATGCCCATACAAGTTCTCCAGCCTTCTCCTATGCTGCCCTCTAAGGGCACGTCTACACAGCAGGGCAAAAGTCAAATTAAGCTACGCAATGTTAGCTACGTCAATTGCATAGCTGAAGTTGAAATTGCTTAATTTGGCTTTTGGTGCTGTCTACACAGTAGGAAGTCGAAAGAAGAACGCTCTTCTTTCGACTCCCCCTACTCATATAAAATGAGGGTTACCATGAGTCAGAGTAAGAAGTCCTCCAGCTCAACATTATTTTGAAATAAAGGTTTGAAGTGTAGATGTTCACTATGTTATTTTACATAAGAACGTAAGAACGGCCGTACTGGGTCTGACCAAAGGTCCATCTAGCCCAGTAGCCTGTCTGCCGACAGTGGCCAACACACGGTGCCCCAGAAAGGGTGGACCGAAGACAATGATAATGATCTAGCAATTTGTCTTCTGCCATCCTTCTCCAGCCTCTGACTAACAGAGTCCAGGGACACCATTTCTATCCCCTGGCAACTAGCCTTTTATGGACCTAACCTCCATGAAATTATCTAGCTTCTCTTTAAACTCTGTTATAGTCCTAATAACTTCAGTTATTCCAAAATAACGTTGCTGTGTAGATGTACCCTAATAGAGCAGAATCTGTTCCAAGGAACTTGTAGACAGATTGCAACCTTAACAGATTCTTAAAACTACTACTCTCTCTCCTCCTTCACAGCCCCTCTTTCAAATCCACTTCTGCCATGATGCCTATGAGAAATCAGGGAACCACTAAAAGATAACTCAAGGGGCAGTCAGACATGTATAAGCATGAGAGAACACAGCTAGATTTTTTTATGTCTACTTGTGGTGCACATTCACACATGCCTTGGTGAACTTTATTATAATCCTATTCTCTTATGCTCAGCATCCAATAACACCTTGCATTATCTGAAGTAAGCACATAAGATCAGGACAGATGATTATTTTATCGTAGCAATAAGCAGGGAGTTATACTACCCGGCCAATACTGGAATATCCCAAAGAAAGAGAACAAGACCTATGATTGTTTTGACCTAGTACAAACCTAGGAGATGCTTTCATACCCTTTTCATACCTGGAATGCATGTGTTCAGAACAAAGAGATGAGAGGTACAGCATGGCACCAGAAAAACAAGGTAAAACGCTGATTGGTAAAAAAAAAGCCTAGTTTCTGATTATATATACTGGACCTTTTACTTGCAACCAGGTAAGGTATAAAAAGATTGCTTTTGACATGTAACTCTGGGAATATACATACTGCATAAGGCAAATGCAGCAATGCTGCATAAGACAGCTTCCCAGTAACTGGTGTAATAGGGTATATGTCTACACTACCCTCCTAGTTCGAACTAGGAGGGTAATGTAGGCATACCACACTTGCAAATGAAGCCCGGGATTTGAATTTCCCGGGCTTCATTTGCATAAGCGGGGAGCCGC